TATGACCGTCACTCTCGTGGAATAGTATCTTATCCTCCAATTCCTACACCTACACGGAGACTTGTTCTTCTGACGAAGAAGCTCGTTTCCTTCAAACGGCTCCGCACACTAAGCTAGATGAATCTACACGAGAGACAGTGAGTTTTCACATAGACTTGACTCTCCTTGCCTCATTGTCCTGTTGGGTTGCAGATTGCTATGTCCAGCAGCGAGGAAGAAAGTAGAAGGAAGCAGCCGAAACGATCGGCCAAAAATCCGTATGAAAAGGAGGGGCTGTGGTCCTTCCCCGTACTCTCCTCGTCTTCACTGGGACTGCGACTTAAATAACATTCCCTCAATTTCAGAAGTCGGATATGGATCACAGTGACTCCAGTGCGACCATGCCCTTAGGCGGGTCTCCACACGCAGGTATTTGTCATCTCAACTAACCTGTTCGCCCTAGGCCCGAGGAGATAGCATCGAAAGCGTCGACGCCACACCTCGCCACCAAGGTGCGGGGAGAATACTTTGAAAGTCTGTCTGCGCTGGGTCATGGAAAATCTGGTCCATACGGCAAACACCGTAGAAGACATGAAGGTTAAATTAGATATCCTCTACGACAGCCGCTATGGTCAACACCCACTCCAGCACCTCATGGGCCTGTGTTCCAGCGCACGGCTACCCTGGCTGAGCTGGAGGACTTTACAAACGTTATACTGGACACGAGGTTCAGGCAGCAAGCGGTAAATATACCCTGTAATTGAACATTTCTCACTAGATTTCTTACCTCACGGCTAACGTACAGAAGTGACATTATTTCCGCCTTCGCGGATAGAACGTTCAATATCCTGTTTGCTGACAGGATAAACCTACACCTAACTTTTTGCTGCCGGCCCCAGGAGAAGAGGGTTTTCTATGGATCCAAACCGTACGGTTTGGTTGTCGGTACATCATTCAATTTCGTTATATGTCATGTAACAACATAGATGCTTTCAGTGTGGAACGCTACGCGCAATTGCGACCAGCACCAACTAGACAAGGCTTTCCGGACTGTCTTCATGAAGGCTTACGACCGACTGCACAAGCGAGGTTATAGGCTATCATCCTCACAATGTCCCGACGGTTAGTGATGTCTTCATAACGCTTTATTCCTTAATTCGTGTTTCTTTACCACGTGGTAACAGAATAGTACTATTCTGTTGGCACTCAATGTTTCAATTGACACCGCAATTAATATCCTCTTCTTTGATTGCAGACAACGAAAGAAACCAGCCATCCCCTGGGCCGGCCGGTCCCTCAACACAGCCCTAAATTGACCACTTGTACATATTAGATTGATTCCCCTATTTTTGTACAGCTTCTTCGCCATTTGTTTTCGCCTTGATAGAGAATAATACTTTTAATAACTCTTCTTAATAGAAAGCTATTTAAAAAAAACAGCCTTCCTTATGCCCTGCTTAAGGGAAAC